AGTTAAATTCACAGAGGCAGAAAAAGGGTTAGTGTTTGCTAATATGGAGGGTAGATGGAAATGGGGAAAGTATTAATAAGTGCAGTATTTATCTTCAGGGATGCTGATGTTCTGGAATTAGTAGTGATGGTTGCACAATTTTCTGCACTACATACTAAAAACCACCACATTACACATGCCAAATGGGTGAATTTTATGGTTTGCAAATTATCTCTCAATAAGCATCCAGTAGAAAATATAAAATTTAGACAAACTGGTGATATGTATTTATAAAAATTGATCCTGTGGTATACCAGAAAACACATTCACTGAATTTTAGAGGTTATAGTATTGAGAATGTGTTCTACAACTAATGCAGAAAGGAAACATAATCAAAAAAGTTTTGTAATTTTAAAAGTTCTTCTAAAAACCCATGAATTATGAATAAATCACAGTGGAAATGGAAAAATCTCTCTAGACTTAATTGAAGTGAAAATACTAATTACATATCAAAACATCTTGAAATGTAATAGAAGTCTTCATGCTTAGAGGAAAATTTACAACTGTTAAAACAGAGGATGGACACAAAAAAGTTCACCTGCTTTAAAATACTTGAACTGGGTAACCATGTATTGTAAATGACAAGAGACAAAAGAAAAATTTTATATATAAAAACAATCTAACATTGTTTTGATAATCAGCAAAATCACAACAGTACTGTGAAAAAAGAAATAGAATTGATTCAGCTTTGTAAAAATTTATAGAGAGGGCCAAGTGTTAGAGTGTATTGTTGAATCTAATATGAAAAAGGTGAGCAGATATTGACATCTAAAAATGAAAAAGGCTATTATCAACAACCTTGCCAACAAATTTGAACATTTAAATTCACAAGTTTCTCAAAAAGTGAAACTGTAGACAATTTTCACAAAAAGAATTAGGAACATGATCAATTTGTGTTTATGAAATGCAGTAAATACTAATTTAAATTTTTCCTATAATAATTCATTTGTTTTAATTTCTAATTTTACAGACATTTAAGGAAGACCAATATCAGTCTTACTCAAAAGCTTCTAGAAAAGAAGCATAAAAAGTTTCTCATGTTTTAATTAGCCCACCACAATTTTTGTACTCAAAACTAATGAGGATGTTACAAGAGAAATTATTAGCCAGTCTCATAAATAAACATACAAGCAGAGTAGTACAAATATATTAGTGTACTGGATTGGGAATACTGAGTGTACATGCCATTCTTAATATACATCAAGTTCATTTCAGAAAAATAAGATTAACTTAAAAATGAAAAACCTTTATATTCAATTCCACTTACAGAATTACTAAGAAACATCACATAATCATTTTCCAGAAACCTTTAGTTTACATTGTTTTTGTTCCCTGAATGCATATGTAGCACCTGTCACTAGCACTGAGATTTCAGAGTTTTGCATAAGCACTCTAGAAAATAAGTTGCCTCTCTGGTTATTTTCTAGGAAAACCTGGAAACAGCAGGACCCTTTGAATCACACCCTGCAGATCATTCTGACATTACTTTTTCAGCTGTTCCTCCTGAGGTCTTTCTGAAACTACAAAGAAAAGGAAACAATAATTCTTCTATGCCTATCATAATTTCTGAAATGGAATAACATGATATTTTTGCGCCCATATCTGCTTGTTCAAATACTATTAGGAAAGGAGTGAAAAGGTTTTGTGTATCAGACTTGACTATAATTCAGAAATAGATCTTCCCACTTTGAATTCTTGTGTGTTGCAGCAACTTGAGGTAGATGAGACAATACCATCTCATATACAATATGTTTATTGAATAAACACTATTTTCTGAGAAGTTTTTTCAAATTTATGATGTTTGAACATTATATAAATTCCATGATAATAATTTAGTTGCATCACAGATGGACTCCTTTATTTGATTTATCTGCATATTCTTTTCTATTATATAACTTGTTAGGCTTTCTGAGTTACTAAATGTAACATCATGATGTAGATAATGCTGCTAGTATGAAAAACGTAATAATAATGTTAACATTTATCATGACAAGTTTATATTCCTACCCTTTATGACTATGGTTGTAGTCAGGGTCTGCAGGGGAAACACTACAGGACACGTAATTTATAGGGTTATTTTACAGTAGTCACCCAAAGAGTTGTATACAAAAGAGTGCAAGAAATCTGTCCAGAATGGTTGTTGTATTGTATATTGTTGTCTTCAAATTAGTTGTTCAGATTAGCAAATATAAGCATGCAAGATTGGTCAAAAAAATAAAGCATCAATAAATCATTAGATAACAATATGTAATATAACAACCACTGTTAATTCCTATCATTTTGTTCTGAAATCCTGTATCATTCTTACTGTTTTTGCTTTGTTTTGTTTTATCTATGTTGTTGGTATTTTGCTATTGTTCTTTTTTTATTATTCTCTTTAAAATAAAAAAAAAAGAAGTAATCTATCTACAAAATAAAGATCCAAAGATTCAGGTGAGGGCCTGGATACCACTGCAATGTCCTGCATTAGTACAACCTATGACCTAGAGCCCATGACAATGACTCATGCAAACCATTTCAAGGATCTGCACCTGGAAGGCCCAAAGGTCTGTGGTGGAAGCTAAAGATTCTGTACCAACACGATGAAGAACCTGTGACAGTAGGCTGAGGTATTTGCATTGGAGCCAGGAAGTGACATTCAAGGTAAGGACTAGAGCTCCCCTGAAATGTACCATGGCCATCCTCAGAGGCAACGATATTCCAAGATCCTCCTACGATGAGAACAACAGAGTCTATATCAGGAAAGCCAATGTGACAAACTTCTCCAGGACACTGAACAGTGCATCATCTTTCCCTCCAGAGCCAGGAAGCAATGACAAGCTCCTCCAGGAGAACCAACAGCCCCATGAAAACCAACGGGTCCCTAACAGCATCCTTTCTTCTCTATTTCTCCTTTTTATTTTGTTGGCAACAATCTTCAGGTGGGCCTTCCATACCAAACACCATGTTGATTCAGTCTAGCTGGGTGTTACAAGTTTACCATCAGTTGTCAATCCACAACAATTATCAAATCAAGCAAAAATTATGCAATTCTCACTATACCTAATTGTTAGCCAAATACAGTGGCATAAACATATTTATAATTTAGAATGAAGTAATTATACATTTTTACCTTTTCAGAAAAACTGCCTGAAACCTTAAGTTTTCTGAGATATCAAAATTGAAGCAAGATTGTCTAACTCAAAAATTTGTGAGGACTGCATGACATAAGTGAACTGTGTCTGAAGTGAGGCTTGACACTTAATACGCATGAAAAAATTTGAAGTGTTTGACTTTTTTCCTTGTACCAGACAATGTCATTTTTGTATTCCACTCACAGACTTTAGAAAAGAGTTTCTTATTTTGATCTGATTGGGTCAGATTTACATCTTTACTCTAATATGATTAATTGTATAGATAATGACAAATCAAGCATCATTTCTTAATAGATACTAGAGTGAAGTGGTATTTCTTAAATTATAACATTGTATAAACTTGAGTCAGGATCCCTTTATTAGGTGATATATTGAAAAGGAGAAGCAAGAGAGAGGAGGGGAGCAGGTAGTGCTACAGGAAAAAAAAAACTATAGCATCACAAGGGACCATAGGGTTCCCAATGTACAGCTATCTCTCTTTGGTCCTCAATACATCTGCTCTCACTCAGTTTTCATCAGACTATCTCCTGAGAGCTTCCTGCATTGTTTTTATATCCTACATACATCCTTTTTATTTAAGACATATTGTATTTTAGACATACATCCTTTTTATTTAACTATCATTAATATACTCTAGTCATTACAATCAAAATAGTATGAACTGTAAAATATTTTTCTTTGCACTGCTTTTAAGTTCTGTTATGTAGAACAGCAAACATTAGTTTTCAAAATGCTAAGTTGCTGGTTTTTTATGAGTATTGATTTTAAGTAGACTGAAGATTGGTTAATAGACTTATTTATGTTATATAGTGTGGTATAAACTGATATTTTTATATTAAAATATTAAAGGGTTCATCACATACTAATATTGAAGAAAAAGAGAGTGTGAAGATAATTTAAACCTAAGAAGGAAAAATAATAATGATGGCTTCACTAATATTTGAATGGTTTTTACCTAAAATAACATAGTCCTAATTTTATGGCATATTATTTAGAATGTTTTTGTGTAAGTTGGAAAAGATCTAATTAAGAAATAAAGATATTTATGATGTTATATAATCACAGAAAACTATTCAGTCATGTCGTGAAGATTCTGCCTTCTTTCTGTGTTTTTAATCAGCTGGCTTCAGTGTGTCAGCTATAATCCTCTGTCTTACTTGTTCATGTGTTCCAGATGCGTTATGTCTAAAACAGACAGAAGTAGCCCCACCTAGGTGGCGAATGTGTCCTAGATTCTATACTTTCCAAAAGACCCTCAGCATATTTCCTTTTAAGTCCCCTTGTTCATATTTGTGTAGGGTAATCTGGCAAACCTCTATTGTCCAGTTGGAATTCTGCATATTTCCATTTTATCCTCAAGGGAGCCCACAGCTGAATGATAATTTGTGTATCTACTTTTGATTTGAGTCATATACTAGGTATTTAGGAGTATAAGATCCTTATAAAAGCAATCAGCTAGTACTGTTAGGCTCTGTCGTACAAAGTAATTCTGTCAAAGAATAAGGACATGGCTATGGGGTCCTATAATGGGGTCCAAGCAATAAGATCTGCCACAGGTTAAGTATTAAATAATTTCCAGTTTCTGATTATGAACCTGGATACTGTGCCAATTAGCCTGAATCAACTATGCTAAAATACTCTGGAATAATCTGGTTGTATGTAAGTGTGAATTTTGGAAGAAGTTCTAATGAATCAATTTTATTATTGGGGGAATCCAATTTGGTCAATATTTTTATATCCTTGTAAAGATAGATTAGCAAATTCTCTAGGTTTTATTTATTTTAAGAATTGTTAATAATATACTAATATTTTTGGTTTTTTTCCTAGAATTAGATGAAGTGACCCAGAAACTAATGGTTCAGACAGCTAAACCAACTTTTGGCCATCTGACAGATGTAAGCAAAGTGTTGAAGATATAATAATTTCACTGATCAAAGTAATTAAATAGAAACACGCATTTATTGTGGTTTAGTGTCTAGTAGCCTTCCTCCTATAGTGACTGTAATATGATATTCTGTAGAGAATGGAAAAGGAGATTTATAAAACATAATCATAAGTCATCCACTTATATGGCTGTTTTAATTTCACTTATGGTAATAGGTATGGTAACATGGATATTAGAGTACATACACTTTCATAGTCTGTCTCAACAAAAGAATAGCTGTAAGAACCTTTCCTTAGAAGCTTTTTACATTTTAAAAGAGGACCATATACATTTCAACAAATATTTTAAAGGCTGTGGGTCATTATTTTTAGTTTTATCATGTCCACTTTATGTAAATAAAATATGTATAGTTGCAAAAATATACCTTGTGTAAATCTCTATGAAATTTCTATGTTTGCTTAATTTGTAAAGAACCATTATGCTTTAATTCATAGTAGATTTTTTAATCATTTCTACTAGGAATGTGATTAAAGCTTTGATCAAGTCCTGATATAATAAGATAATGAGAACATTCTAGTCAGTAGGACTCCAGGAGCCTGGAGCCCAAGTGTCCTGATGACATTGCTCTCAGAAGGTAGAATCCAAATGGCCTAAGCATCAGTCCAGCCACATGTGTGGAGCTGCTGTTGTGAAAGGTGGCACTGTGAAGTGTGAGATGAGGAAATGAAGTCAAAGAAGGAAGTAGATGGGCAGTTTAACCAAGCATAGTCTTTGAGGAACAGCAGGACCTAATGGGAATTTTTTTTTTTAAGTAGCTTGTTCATATGAGGTGTTTAATGTTAGCCTCTCCTCTGTTTCCAAGGAAATCCGTAGTGAAATCCATGACTCTCTCTGATGCTTTCTTTGTTTCCTTATAGTTAAAGTTGAGCACATGTTGAGTCCTTCACCCATCATCCTGGTAACGCGTTGGTTATACTTTGAGAACTCATCTGGGATTTAGGGGTTAATATGCAGTTTTCAGCTGTACTTTGGATTAAGTCAAAATCATGAAAGTGAAATAAAAGGGCTTATTCACCATGGTTGCCAATTGACAGGCCATAATGGTGGTTGAAGTATTACCTTACAGAGGAGACTATTATGAGGTGGTCCTTTGCAAGCTTTAGTGCCACTGGTAGTACGTATAACAATTGCATAGTCCCTGAAATCAAATCCTTTTTACTGACTTCTACTGATACATGTGGAACTTTGCCTTACTGGACAGAGAGGAACAAATCTGGACTTGAGGGAAGTCATCTATTTCAGAGCTCAGTTTTTACACTGGGATAATAAATACTACCTCAAAAGAAGACAAAGCGAAGGACTTCTTCAGTATCATATTGAAGAGAGGTATTTAAACCAAGTGTCAGCAAAGCCCTGGCTATGTCAAGTAAATTTTGGGTGTGGCATTCTCTAATTTCTTTTCTGGTATTTGGAATGAACCCAGAGCCTTCATCCTGAGCTATCCCCAGTACTTTTCTCATTTTTTTTTTTTTATTTTGAGACAGATTCTAGCTAAGTCACTCCATACCCTAGAGGGCTGGGATTACAGGCTTTAGCCACCATGCCTAGCAAAAGAGTTTTGTTTTTAATGGAGAAAGGGACCCATGTTTTCCTGTAGGAAATACGTGAATATGAGAGTGAATGCTGTTAAGTAAGATTGATGGGGGATAGGAAATACTTGAAAGGGCTGGCTGGCTTGCTGAAACGAAGAAGAAATCTGGAATGTACTTCCCAGGGGTCCAGACATTATGGAGCATGTGATTGGTATGTTTTAGGGAAGGGGACATTCAAAAGACAGCAGAAAAAGGAGCAAGACAGCAAACTGCAGCCAGGCTAAAAATCCTAGAATGCACATCTTGCCCAGAAAAGAGAGATTTAGATGAAATTAGTCATTTGTGACTAAACTTTTAAATCGTGTGAAGTGACGGGTTAGAAGTAAGTTCTATTTTCCCTTCAAACTGTCAATTTTCCCTCAATGAGTTTTATGTGAATAGATTTGCTTTTTTATGCTGCACGGCAGAAAGTGCCAGCTCCATCTTCTGATTTAGTGGAGGCAAGAACAGATGCTATAACTAATCCATCCATATCTGTTTTAGGAAAAATAAGATGAAACACACTCTATTCTAGCAATGTGTTAATGATCATGTAAGTGTTCATTTTTAATTCAGTATTTGTCACTATGTTTTTAAAGTCAGTTTTCAAGTTGCTTTGAATTTTTCTCCTTCAGGGACGTCTATTCTGGTACTTCACACAAAGTAGCCTTTTTTTGTTAGCAATATTCTGGAAGTCAAAATCAAATGAGCAGATCACATATATGAATGGTCATATATATGAATAACAAGCACGTGGAACTTGGATGTGCTTTATTGGCTTCTTCCATAGACATGGAATTGTTTTCAGTAGTTTATAAAAATGTTGCATTCTTGACTATTTTTTTTGTTTTGTTTTGTTTTGTTTTTTTTTTGGTTTTTCTCCGGTACCGGAAACCGAACTCACGACCTTGCGCTTGCCAGGCAGGCGCTTTGCCACTGAGCTAAATCCCCAGCCTGCATTCTTGACTATTTTTGCCTATAGAATAAATAGACAGATGTTTAAACAGAGGCAAAATTTAATGTGTGGTGCCTCAGAGCCACTTCTATAAATAGGACCTCACTTCTCCTTACCAGCTTAAACTGGTTACTCCTGAAACAGTTTTCCTTAACAGTAACTCTACAACCACCCTGAAATTGACTATTATGTGTGCTATAGATTTAAAGTCATTTGAAAAAATGAATATCCAGTTTCCTTAGCCCATTGTAAATGAAAAGTCCCTTCTCTGCCCACTGAGTTATGTTATCTCCATTGCTGTAAATCAAGTGACTACATGTCTTAGCCTATGCATTCTCTATTTCCCAGCACTCGGGAGGCTGAGGCAGGAGGATCATTGTGAGTTCAGGACCAGCCTGAGCTACAAAGTGAACTCAAAGCCAGCCTGAACTGCATAGCGAGACTCTGTCTCAGACACACACAAAAAAACCCCAAAAATAAACAAACAAAAAACCAAATTATGTTTCTGCTCTATTCTGAATTATTTTTCTGCCTTTCTGGGGCTTTATTTATAAATACATGTAATAAATATTCACTCTATTTGCTTTTCTTTTCAAATTTTACGCATTTATTGTTCTTTTTATGTCTACTTCAGTGCACAGATTTTTAATTGCTCTTCCTTCCACATTATTAATGCTACCTTTTGTGGGTTCTAATTTGCATTTAATTTGCCTACTGAGTTCTTAATTTCCAATTATGCAGATTCCAGTAACATGTAATATTCTGTCTTTTGCAACCTTTTATCCATTTTTACACTACACATTTGAACATATTCTGCATTCCTTGTTTACAAATTTTAAAGCTTCAGTAGCCTGTGCATAAAGGTATATGATTTTTTGTATACCTTTTTTCAATTCTCTATACAGTTGCAGCTGTTGTTATGCCTGTGATTTTTCAATTGAATAATAATTTTTTAACAAAACTTCTACAGACTTCCTATCTTACTCTTGATAAGATCTTCATTTATTCTATGGGCAGATGGGGTATGGCTGGAAGTTCATCACTTTAACCTGTTGGGGAAAATACAGGCTACATCATAAATGTGGTAAAACTCAGTTTACTGCTTCTTCACTTCTAAAACTGAGAAACATTGTTACCCTGATAATTCTTGAACTCTAATTTTGCCTCTTTAGTGAAAAGCATTGGAAGCTCAGCTATTTTTTTTTTTTTAAAGTAGTTTCAGCTTCTTAGGCTGTTACCCCACACAGAAGTCTTAAAGGGACAATTGACTACCTATTTAATATTCATTGAAGCCTCACATTTTTTCATTGTAGACCCAAGAGGTACCAAAAGCTCAGGTTTTCTGTTCCCCAGTAATGATCTTCTGCCTGAGCAAATCCTTTGAGTAATATCAATGAGTGATGCTTAAATAGTCAAATTAGCTGCACACTGAGCACTTCCCCACATTAGCCTATCTTTGTGACTTCTGGCATTAGTGACTCTCTTTAAAAACTTAATTTTATCCCCATTTGTTGTACTCGTGCGCATCAAAAGAAAAGATATACCACAAACTAATCCATTTTGCCCCAAAGCTCTCTAAATATATCTAAGTATATTTCCTTCTTCTATCTAGATATATTTCCTGAAAAATTTTGCCTAGGCTAATTTCATTTCATATTTTCTTCAGGATAATCTTTTTTCTTTTGGTTTTCTAAGGGACATATTTAATTTGCAGTTTATTTTTTGGGAGGCGGTTTACAGTATCTTTTCTAATGAATGATTTAAAGCTACCCATTAACCTCCTAATGCCTGAAACATTGGAATTGAGTCTTCTCTTAAATGTCTTCCACAAAGGATAATTAGCTTATGTGTCATCTTTTAAATATGGATAATGTAAGACGTTGCCATGTGCATGAAATGGAGACTCTATCTTCGTTGGAAAAGCTAGGCTTCAATAAAGTTATTTAATATAACCATGATCTGGTAGGTATTGAGGCTGATGGAGAGTAATGGGTATATGGTAGATAAATGCGTAGTTGTTGATAAAATGTGCAAAAATATTTAGATAAAGAAATATTGTACATATTTATGAGAGTATGATAATTGAATACATGCATACAGTATATAATAATCAACCCAGATTAATTAGCATTTACATCATGAAATGTTTAGCATTTTTTTGTGTTGGAAGTCTTCCAAGTCCTTTCTTGTCATTCCTTCCAAAACACGTAATAAATCCTTGTGAACTGTATTCATTCAACGGTGTTGTAGAACATTAGAATGTGTTCCGTCTGTCTAAATGTATTCAGATGTTGCACATACTCTCTGTTATCACCCTCTTCCTTGCTCATCCTAATCTCTCATGATCATTATTCTACTTCTAAAAGTCAGTGTCTTTAGTTTCCACATATGGAAGCATGAATTAAGTTTTCTTTCTGGGCCTGATACATGTCATTTAACATAATGTCTTCTAGGTCCATGT